TAAATTGAAATCACCTTCATTATGAATCAAGGTCTCTATGAATTTAACAACAACCAGATTACGTCTATTAAGCCACTTGCGTGGACTATATGCTATAATACACTCCATAGTAAACCTATTATTATCGCGAAATAACAATTCTATATCCTCAAACAATGATGTACATTCTAGGATGTGGGTAGGGTTAGAGTATGTGATAAATTAGGATATAAGTTTGAATTAATAAGAAGTTAAAATATTAAATATTTCCATCTATTCCAATGACACTAAAAAAAATATGTTCATTGTATGCCAATGGCATCCCGCGACGATCTTGCCAAGAGTTAAAAAAATAAAATAAAAAACATATATGTTCCATACCAACCTGCCTTTGCTATCTTGACAATCGTATCTATACGCTTTTGTTGATCAGAAAACCTAGAGTTCCATTGCTCAATAAGAAAATCATTACGCTTTTTTTGTTCATCATTCAAATTTCGAAGTTCAACCATATTGTTGCGAGTCTTCTCCAATTTAGTTTTTAATGCTTCCATCTCCTTTTTTTTATCATCAAAATATTGCATCATTCGTTCAATTCGATTAGTAAGTTCTTGATTCTCAAGTCGAGCAAGTTCCAAAAGCTTTTTAGTCTCTTCAAGCTCAGCTGCCAAATCAGCATAACTAGTCTCAAGTCGAGATCTTTTTTTTTCTTGAACAGAACCTACAATATGCTCATAAAATTGATCAGAAATGATTTGGTTATAATGTATCGAACAAATAGAATACTCTTCTAAAGAACGACTAGAAAGCTCAGGAAAGTAGTTATGAAAGCGTTCAAGTTGCTTAGCTACGTGTGGACCCTTTGCATTTTGCCATTTTCCCGTTCCGCAAGGACTTAGATCATATGTGGCAACTAAATCTGCGAATATACATCTAAGTTCTTTCGCTTTTTTCTTCTGATAGCCTGACACTTTAAAAAAGCAAATAAATTGTGATTTTAATTAACAAAAGCATACTTATATCTAATACAATTCGCAAAAAATTCTCAATTTTAAGGTCTCATTTACTTTTTCGAAAAAGTTCACTACGAGGGATTAAATGGGATTAAAGAAAATAGAAGTTCTGCACTGCCTATTCGTATATCGTTTGATATCGATATGAAAAAAAACCCCCAAGGCGCATGCGGGTGTACAAACCGTAAAAAAGGCGCACCGTAAGCCAATCAAATTCACGAACGTCATTTAGATCATTCTAGAATATGGCTTCCTAATTTGGTAAATCGGCAGACTGCAATAGAGGCCTACACGGGCCGGGCCGAAATTTCAAAATTGCGGGCCTGGTGTGTAAAAATTATTTTGCGGGCTGGCAGAAGTACAAATTTTTAGGCCCGTGCAGGGCTCTAGTGTACAACACTGGGTGTATCAAAAAAGCAGGCGCAGGAGTATCAAAAGTGGATGTTTTGCTTCTTTGCCATGGCTAGGGTACTCCAATATAATCGACCGATGCTGGGGTAGATAGAGATCATGTGGTCCAATTTCGATACGACTTTAATCACACAGGTTCAGTCGGAACTGGATTGTAATTAACCAATTTTGCCTAAAATCTTACAAATGAAGTCATTGCACATTCACTAAGTAAAAACGCCAAGTAAAAGTGCCAAGCCGATATTTTGTTATGGATATCGATATAGTCCAACTAGTATTGCCCCAGCTTCATAATTCTGATCCGGAATTTTAGGGACTACCCTGTAAAAAGACGTGCAGCTGATCGCATCATTTTGTGATTAAATAAATTTTTAATCAGAATATCAATGTCACAATTTTTTGAACTACCAAATTCTACCCAAATGGGAAAACGCAAAGGGAAAGGTTTCGCTCAACGGTCTCATGATAAAATTAAAAATTCAAATGATCAAAACAGAGGGTATGCAACCCTTTATGATGAATATATAAGGTATATACAATGTTCAAAATTTAAATTTTTCATCAAATTTAAAACATATTTTTTAATCCATCAAGAACGCATTTCAAATTTAAATCACAAAAATCTAATTGCGTGATCATTTTATATGAAAAGCGAGGAACAATTTAATCATAGGCATAACTTGACTAACAATGAAATTTGCAAAGGTTGAAATTTTTTGACTTAG